ATTGGAGCTACTCTCCCAGCTTAGGAGTCACAGCCCCGAGTGCTCCTACCACCACTGGTACCACTTTGGCCTTTACTTTCCACATCCTCTCTAGTTCTTTCTTTAGGCCCTGGTACTTTTCCAGCTTCTCATACTCCTTCTTCCTGATGTTGCTGTCACTGGGCACTGCTACATCTATCACCATTGCTGTCTTCTGGTCCTTGCCTACTACTGTAATGTCTGGTTGACTGGCCAGTACCTGCCTGTCTGTCTGGATCTGGAAGTCCCACAGGATCTTAGTCCTGTTATTCTCTATATATACATATATACATATACACACACACCCTAACATAAATTAAGCCTTGGTAATTGTAATTTTGTTTAATTTGCCTCTTGTCCTGGGAGCTTTAGTACTGGATAAACCACTATTTAAACAATCCATTGAATTAAATTTCTGAAGTGGGATCTGCTCCCTGATGGTAGAATTCCATTCCAGGAAAAGCTCCAACAGAATTTTCATACCTTTTCCTGTTCCCAGAATTTTTCATGGGATAGCTATGAGGATTAAACTTACAATCTATATGTACTCTATGGTGTCCAAAAATCTTTCTCAATTTGTTCACTATTTTTTCAGGATTCAGAAAAAAATGAAGTTTCAGAGTTCCTTACCATGGTAGAAAATATGCCAGATGTACCATTTGGGATCTGCACCAATTCTCAAGTTCTTTCTCATTATAATATCACCAGAAATACCATCTCCCTCTTTCGCATGGTAGGTTTTTGTCTTGCAATTCTGCTTCTTCCTTGAATAATATCCAAATGCTATAGCTGCTAATTGGTATAAACTGGGACTTTTTTTTCAGCCATACTTATGATATGTAGGAATCTACATGATATTCTAAAATTGGGTTCATACAACAAGCTTAAGTGAGTCAGTGGCAAGAGTAGTATCTTGTGACTTGCTAACCCTAATCACTTTTTGAGTAAGAGCAAATCAGTTTTAACCCCAAACTGTATTAGGGCAACTCTTGATTTATTTTTCTTCCATTAGAGTCAGCTGTGCTGTATGCATTCAAAAACTCAGTGGACTGTTGAGTATCCTGCTCAGGCAGTCATCAAAGGTAAAGAGATGGAGTTGTGTGAAGAGTTGCCAAAACCACAAGATGCTTCATTACAAAGCTTGTTTCTATGTCCTGTTAGCCCTGGAACATGCCTCCTCAATATTGATGGGTTGCATTATGTCAATGGGGAGTGAGAGCCAGTATGATGTAATGGTTATGGTGCTGGGCCAGGAGTAGGGAAGCCCATATTCTAGTTCTCCCTTATGCATGGAAGCCAGCTTGATGTCTGTGGGCCAATCATCTTCAAATCAGCATCAGGCACTGTAACAAGCCATCTGAAAAATGGAACCTGTTGTGCATCATGCACTGATAAGCTTTGCTGTAAGCACTAGATGACTCAAGTGCAAAACAAGTAGACCTTACAATGAAGCAGGACAAATGTTAAGAACAACAATCAACAACATGTCAATGAGGAGGCGCCGCTGACAGAATAAAAATTTGGCAATACTCTCCAGGCAAAGGGACTCATGGGATAAAGGCAGGACTGAACACAGTTGGTATGAACTCTTCATTTACCCAAATGGCAACCATCAACCAGGTTTCCATGACTATGTGCTTGATTGATCATTGATTGGCCAAAGCATGTTGCATGAATGCAACCCAGGAGTACTTCCAGGTAGAAAGCTCTAAGTGCAAACAGTCAAAATACTGTGTAACTACCCCATATTTTCCTCCTTGTTTGTAGGAAAAAAATGGTAAATGATGCAATAGGAAAATGGGAGTGCTAAAGTTAAAGGACAACACTGTTTAGTCTGGTGGAAGATACCATAAATGTGGCAAACCAATTGCTTCATTAAAGCATCATCTGGATGCAGGCAGAGGTAGACGTATGAAGAGTTGTTTCTAACAGTAGTAGGAACAAATTATGAATATTTTGGATAGGAAAGGTACCCAATGGGGATGCTTGAGTTTAAAAAAAAGAACTTCTCAAAGTCAGTGGAATATTTTGGAATGGCTTTAATTTAACTCCAACATTAAAAAAAAAACAAGATCAAATGATATTAATCAATTAGTACCCATTTTTGTAAACTTGGGTAACTCATACTTTTTTTCAAAGTTAAATAATAGCAGCTCTGCTGTGCTTATTCTCTATAATATACTTGTTCATTGCCTTGCTGTCCCAAGATCCACACATCCCCAACTTTACCTTGGTGAACTTGTGTTTAGTTTCAGCCCAGGAGAATTGCTCAAACTGCATGGGCATTATGTGCTTTATGAAAAAAACAAATCTGCTTTATCCACCTTGGGCCCATGGAACCCAAAGTAGCATATGGTACCTTTTTTCCTAAATGTTATCACTTCAGAACTTGAAAAGTGAAAGGGAGGCAAATAGGAAGTTTGAAGGAAAAATATCTTAATTAAATGTTTGTTTGATTTACAGTGCTAGCATAACATTTAGTTAATTATTGCACTAGTATTCTAGCATACTTCTATATTATAAAACATCTCTTTGACATATTTGGCATGGATTGTCTCTGCATTTGCCTATCTATGTATGTCTAAACATGCAAAAGCATTAAACAAGTCTATCATCTATTAACAACCGACCATCTATTAATGATGAGGTGATAGACTTGATTCCCCAGGTCAACATCAACAGCACCATGGATGACCCTCCAGTAATAGCTGAAGTCATGAAAGCTGTCAACCAGCTATCTAGTGGCAAAGCTCCAGAGGCAGATGCCATACCTGCAGAGATCTACAAAGCCAGTGGTCCTGTACTTATAGAGAAATTCACTGAGTTGTTCCAGTCTTTCTGGAAGCAAGGATCCATTCCTCAGGAACTTAAAGATGCATCTATCATACACCTCTACAAGAGGAGGGCAGTTGACAAGTATGCAACAGCTACCGAGGAATCTCATTGCTCTCCATTGCAGGAAAAACCCTTGCAATGCTAAAGTGTCTGGTCACCTTTCTGGACCTGGGCCTGCTGCCAGAGTCACAGTGCAGCTTCTGCAAAGGTCACGGGACTATTGACATGATTTTTGCCATGCACCAACTTCAGGAGAAGTGTCGGGAACAGAATCGTGAACTTTACACAAACTTTGTTGACCTCACGAAAGGCTTCGACAGTTAGCTGACATGGCCTGTGGAGGATCATGCTGAAGTTTGGCTGCCCCGCCAAATCCATTCAAATGGTACGCCAGTTCCATGATGGCACGATGGCTTGGGTGCTGGATGGCAGAGAATCCTCTAAGGCATTTCCAGTCACTAATGGCGTCAAACAGGATTGTGTGCTTGCACCCACACAGTTCAGCACGATGTTTACTGCCATGTTGAATGATGCCTTCCAATATATTGATGCTGGAATCAACCTCAAGTACAGAGTGGATGGGAAGCTCTTCAACCTGAGGAGACTTCAAGCTATTACCAAAGTGAAGGAAACTGTTCTGAGAGACTTCCTCTTTGCTGATGACCGCACCTTGAATGCTGGCTCAGAGCCAGAGATGTAAGTCAGTATAGATTGCGCTTACCGGCAACTGCTCCCAACTCCTTTTTGCAAGGCGCCGCCAGCATTTTTCCTC